AATACTTCTTCAGGTGAGCATAGTTGTTCAAAGGAAAATACCGATCCTTTCATGTGTACTGTTTCATGGTGTACGGCCAAAAGAACTCAGCTGTGAAGTGGGTGTATATTTTGGCATTTTTCACGGTTTGTCTAACGTTTTGCGCCTTTAGAGCTTCTACTTCTTGTTCAAAATTTGTGCATTGTTCTAATAAAGATTTAATCGCATAGTTTTGTTCAATTAGGTTCTTACTTTGAGCCAGTATTGTGAATAATAGCTCCGAGAGTTTTTCATTTTTGGGTTCCATTTTATAATAGTGGTAGAAAAACTGTAAGTAAATCAACAGACAAATTCATATATTTTCTGGTGATGTCTGATAATGAAATGTCAATATCATTATCACAATACGTTTCAGATTGCGTTTGAAATATGCCTAAGGCAATATATAACGCTTGATCTATATCAAAAAACATGTGAAGATTTGTTACTTTATTGCAAATTAAAGTTATGGTACTATTAGTTATTTTAATCTTTCAAATGATGTAAATGCTTTTACTCTTTTACTTTGTTTGGGTGCTTTGTGGAATATTTTCTATGTTGAGGTATAACGCATTTGTAAAGGTGTTCGCCAATAGGATGTTTCAGTACAGGCATTTTAATGTTATTGGTCTTCTCCTTAAGGATAATGCTCTGATTACAAGTCTGTTTGAAAGTTATGAGAGAATATTTTTTCCATTTTTAACTTTCTTTTTAAGTTGGTAAAGATAGTTTTCAAATTTAAATGCGCTGAAATTATCAAGTTTTCCATAGTTTGAAACAACTTTAGTTGAATGTAGCAATGAATGGACATTGTATGTTAGTAAAATTTTCCCATAAATTTCTTTTAGCTCTACAACGAATTCCATTAATAAGTTTTCTGCATAGTTATTAAATTCGTTACAAATGCAATTTTTTAATACGACGATGGAACTGTAAGACAGAAAAGATCGAAATTCAGAAGCTTTTCACCTGTCAATTTCAACAACAATTCTAGGGACTCAATTGAATTCGGAAGGGAAATTTCTACCTATTTTAGAGTTTCGTCGGCTTATTAAAATTACTTGGTCACCATTCAAACTATAATCCTGATTTTTTAATTTTGTCCAGGATTTCACCATATGCTTCACTACCCCGAGGCACACAACGTGCATATAATCAAGAGGGAATTGTGATACGCAACCAACGCCAATAGACTCTACTACTAAATTTTCTAATTTAGTATGGTGTTCACGTTGTGTTCCATTTCTGAAGGACTCATAAGTACGAAAAACTGCAGAGGCTTCTGGTGGAAATGCCATTCTTCTCTCGAAATAGTCCCCTTTTTGCATGCATTTTGTGCAGCAATAATAACCTGAATGGAACTTAATAGCAATCACAAATGCACGGGCTGGAGCATCGCTGATGAAATTATCTATTTGGATATTATGCCTTTGGTTTCGGAACAGAAATCTCTCCTGTTGATATTAATGAAGGTCTTAAACTATGTATTTTAAAAAAATATTTGGATCGTTGGATTTGTTGTATTTATCTAATCTATTATTTATATCAACGTTAATATAAACCCCAACGAGAAATACTGGTTCATAATTTTGAATGCTGACCATTATCGGCCAAATACATTTTTAGAGCTCTTAAAGAGAGAGTACAATATTTCTGGAGTCATCAACCTCGGCGCTTTGTTGAAAAAAATTGGTTAAACAATTTTTTAAACCATAATGCACGTATGTCCCGCTACCCATTTCCACTGTATCCGTATTTTTGGACGTTTCTATTGAATGGTATGAATTGGGATCCACGGTACTATTTCACCTAATTGTTCGTTGTGAGGTTCACTTAATAATTTGCAAAAACAATTTTTGAGCCTTTTTTTGCATTTCTTTTGATAAATCTTCGTGGCATTTTTATGGCTGTTATTTTATCTTACCTGTAATAAATCAATCCACTTGAAACACCTTCTAGAGAATTTAAAATCAATTTTTGAACATTTTAAACACACTTAGACACTTTTTTAAAACAATTTAATGCGACTCAACTGGAGCACGTTTCTGCTTCAACTGTTGAACAAGAACTATAAATAAACAAGTTAAAAAGCAGTAAGTTCGGCCGAGCCGCACTTTGAATACCCTCCACCATTTGCAACGAATTTGGAAATAAAATCCTTAAAAAATATAGACGTTATATTGGTGTATATACGACGTGGACCTATATAGGCATTGTTTGTCATAAGTCATTGCCATATTCAAATTCGAAACTTGAAATAAACGGTGAATAATGTAGCTAAAATCAACAAAATATCCTATATAGGGAGGTACCGTTATTCAGAGCTATACGAAGACCTGGACCTGCATAGATAATTTGTAGCTTTCATTACGAACTTGAAATACGACATCTCAAACAATTTCGGTGAGTATTGTACCTAAAATCGTCAAAATACCGAATATAAGGAGGTACTGATATATAGGGCTTATACGAAAACCTGGACCTGCATAGACAATTTTCTGTCAAAGACTGAAGTTCCCATTACGAACTCTTAATACGTAATTTGAAACAATTCCGGTGAATAATGTCGCTAAAATCATCAAAATACCGAATATCGGGAGGTACCGTTATATGGTGGCTATACGAAGACGTGGTCCTGCACAGACAATTTTCTGTCTCAGGCTGTAGTATTTATTACGAACTTCAAAAACCAAATTTTAAACAGTTCCGTTTAATAACGTCGCTAAAATCATCAAAATACCGAATATAGGGAGGTATCGTTATATGGGGACAGTTTTCTGTCTTAGGCTGTAGTATCCATTTCGAACTTCAAATACCATATTTGAAACAATTCCGGTGAATAATGTCGCTAAAATCATCAAAATGCCGAATATCGGAAGGTAACGTTATATTATGGGCTATATGAAAACGTGGACCTACATGGCCCATTTACGAACCTAACCTGCCTACTGGAAAATAAAAATGTGTGCAAAATTCGTTCGAAAGATAGCGCGATTACAACAGACAGATGGACAGACGGACAGACAGACAGGCGGTTGTGGCTAAATCGACTTAGAATTTTACGCTGATCAAGAATATATATACTTTGCTGGGTCTGACATGAGTAGTTCCAAGAGTTACAAATGGAATGACAAAGTTAATATACCCTCCATAGTATGGTGGAGGGTATAAAAAGAGTGCACACAGAAACCCGGTATGCAATGAAATCAAACACTTCACAAGAACAATAAAACAAATAGCATTTTTGTTTGCGCGTTGTTGTTGTTGTGATTTTGAAACGAATGATCACAACACAACTACTATGGGAGAGATTGTGGCAAAACGCCACCATTCGTTTTCATCTGCCAGAGAATATGCCAGCGCAATAGGCAGTTTACTCTCCTTTTGGATATTTTTCGAATTTTTTTTTTTGCTTAAAAAACGCGGGAAATTGTGAAGACATTCTAAAACATGTTTAGAAAATCATACCAATTTCTGCCAGAAATTTCTGAAAAAAAGTCAGAAATTTCGGAAAAAAAATCTAAAATCAGAGCAGTCGGAGGAAATTGTTTACTGGGTAGTTTCCAATGTTAAGTGATTTAAGCCGCTAAGGTAATATGCAATTAATTGGGAAGGTCTATGCAATAGAAATTTGAAACCAAATGTTTGGATTATAACAAATAAACTCTTTTCATGGGGAATTTAGAGAAATTAGAGTTATAATATAAATCCGAAAAGAACAAATGTATTTCATGCTTCTGTTGCATTTGAGTTGATATTTCACCTTTTAGCCATAATAATGGTGAAATCGACTGAAAAAAACCTAAACCGATTTCTATTAAATTAAGTGAAGTATTTCTATGCTGTATCTGAGTTGGGACCAAATATCGTTGTTTGAGGGAGTATTTTACGGGTGCGAGGAAGTAAAATACAAAATCGGTTGAAACATATATATGGGACCAAATTTTCACCAAATTTGAGATACTTTCTTACAGAAATGAAATTCGGGTTTCTAGTAGCCATTTGGTGCACAATTAAAAGCAAATCGGGCAAACATATAAATGGGAGTTATACCTAAATTTTGATCAATTTTCTCCAATTTCAATAGGGCTCGTCCTTGGACCAAAAAAGTTTTATATTTATCGGATGGCTACAGCTGCCGGACGATGGCTGAGCGGCGTTTCTTCTATGTAAAATGTCGAAACATTTAGTAATGGCCTAAATGCTTCCATGAGGGAACTTCTGAATGTACTTTATTGTAATTCCACATATATTTAAAGTTAAAAATATCTTCATTTATGACAGGTATCTTTGTGAATAAATTAGAACAGGAGGCAACGTTTTTGGTTCACCTAGTATTTAATAAAATATGGCATTTCGTTTCATTTGTCAAATAAAAGTCTGCTAGAAAATTCTTAATAATAAAGTGTGATAAAATCACTTTGCATATGACTCTAACTTGATGTAGAAACGGACTTTTAAATAATCAGAAAGGACAACGACACAGGCTTATTTCGCACAAGTAGTGATCATGACAAAAAACTTCATCAAAATTGATTCAGCCGTTTGGTTGACTGTCTGTCAATCATCGCCCTTTTTAAGGCATGTAGATATAGAGAGAATTGCTTTTTTTCCTATCGTCCTTTCTAGCCACACATTCCAACGGATTTTTTTAAAAATGTAATGTTGTTGTTTGCAATGTGTTCTATCTGCGGTGGAGAACATTTTGTTTTTATACCATGCAGCTTGAAAAGGAGGGTATATTAACTTTGTCATTCGGTTTGTAACATCCCAAATATTCGTTTAACATAAAAACATTTCGAAAAATTAATTTTTCCTACTTTTATGTTCAATGTTTCTTTTTTTTTCATCATCATTGTGCAGGTCAATTTAAGTTCGCCCAAACATAACGCTATACTACTTCTGTTACTATTAAACAAATGTAATAATTAAGCACATATATCTAAATTTAAATAAATATATAAACACGTTTTTATTTTCAGAACCACCACAAAAAGTTGTATTGTGGGACGACTCTGGAAACGAGCTATCAACAGTTGTAGGACCGTGTTCCGAAGGAGATATAATATCGCTTAAATGTGCAGTTTTTGGAGGTACGCTGGTATATATTTTATGTACAAATAGAATGTGGTTTAAAATGCATAGAACGCATTGATTTTTTTGTACGAATGAGAACACCAATAATCAAACGTTTTCAAACAGAAGCAAAAAGAAGCAGTTTTTCTACTAATAGAAATTCGCAATACCTAATATCAAAAAAAAATAAATAAATAATAATAATAAATAAATAAATAAAAATTCGTTGAAAATGCGATTAAAATCCGTCTAAATACCGAATATCAGATAATAACATTATATGGGATTATACGGAAAAATAACCTGTACAGAAAATTTGGTGTCATTCTGTCAAAAAATGTGGCTAAAATCACCGAAAAACCGAACATCGTGTGGTACCGACATATGAGGGTGTACGATATGTAAATATTAAATTTGAAATAATTTCGGTGAAATGTGTGTATGTTGATCAAGAGTGGATCTAAAATGAATATGTTACAAACGGAATCATGAACTTACCCTCCATACTCTGTTGGAGGAGCTTTAAGTTCGGCGGGGCTAAACTTGTTATATCATCCACCATAAACATAATATTCGAGAGAGTTACATTAATAACCACAAACTTCAATTACATAGCTTGGAGAATGCAGTAAATGTGTTCACCTTCAATATCATAAAGGAAAAGTCCTATTTCCAGCCACACGTCTTTAATTTGACACTTAAAAAATGAATGGGCATAGCACATATATCTAAATTTACAATACAAAGTCTTACAATTGCCCAAATATAACATTTCCCCCCAATTATTGCAATTGCTAGGATTGTATAGCGCTCAGCAACATTTTACAAACAAATGAGCCATAATTTGCAATTTGGAATTAATTTTGTCCACCTCATGGTTGGGGGCATAACGGTTTAAAGACACTGCGATATGTGTATATAATATTTTGTCATCTTGTGTGTAACATCAGAGTTCAATTTTATGTGGATCGAAAATAAATGTTTAATACAGATTTACTCCTAAGCAGAACCCCCACATTATGAGGTTTAAGGGCATTTTCGGGGATATAAATCTAATCAGCATAAGATTTTATGGAATCTCTTTTGTGGAAATCTCTTAAGCTTCCGAACGCAATTAAGTAGGTTGATAAAATTTTGTTGAGATGGATTTTAGGTCCTTAGAATTTTTGGTATTTGGAATTCCACGTTCCATAGAGGCACATTTCCGAAGACGTTCCATTGTCTACATCCTTCACACCCTTAGTGTACCCTTACACCAATATTCATTATTCCAAATGGATTCCTGTAATCTATACCAAACTTAGTACTTTTGGTACGCCAAACAGTACGCATTTCCATAAATACATCATTGTCTACATGTTACATACCGAAACTCATATCTCTAATTCACAATCTATACTTAATTTAGTTAGTACACGTTATAATACACCTTTTTAAATTAATATCCTTAATGTTCATAGTTTTATAATTACTACCATCACCAAAATATTGCACTCATAAAATACTGCTTTAAAATTCAACACATAAAATCTTATCTCTATTGTAGGTAAACCAATACCTGAAATCACATGGCTTAGAGATGATATCAAGTTAATATCACCAATTAAACATGGCGATCAATACATTGAAAGTGAGTTAACTTTGGGTCCATTGGGGCGATCCGATTTAAAATCACGCATCAGTTGCCGAGCAAGTAATCATCCCCGCGCAACCCCTGTGGTAACCGTAGTGCAAATCGATATGAATTGTAAGTATTACCCTTAGTTAAAAGTTTAGAATTCAAAAAGAAAAAAACTACAAATGTACATTCGAAAATAGTACGTCAAAATGAAAAAAATTTAAAGTATGATGTGTAGTCTTTTTTTTGGATAGTATAAAGAGACAACGGACAAAACTTGTAGTTGTTTGTATTTATTGAGTAGGTGGAACTATACGAATTATATAATTTCAGAAGATGATAAGATATGAACAAAAAACTCAATATTTTATCATATACGAACGGGTTTTCAATTTGATTTATTGAATTAACTTGATTTTTTGAAACGGAAATTGTAGGCGGGTTACTTTGAAGTATAGTACCAAATTATGTGGTGGCGAAACTGAATAGACGATGTCGAAATAATTTAACGTGGTTACACCAAAGTTAAAGGATAGTTACTATTTTAAAATCGCGACAAAATCACGAAAAAGAAAGTCTATCTCATTGCAATTCTGATTTTTTCAATGGAATCGAATTTCAAAATTATGGCCCATTCTATTGGCAAAATTCGTAAGGGCGGCTTGATGGATTTAGACAGATCACACCATTTTGGAATGGTCTCTTTGTGCTATATATTTTTAAATTATAATATTTTTATTGGCTTGACATTTTTCAATTTGACATAATAAATTGAAGTTTAATTTTTTATTGTTTTGAATTCTGAATGAAGGATATAACAAATTAAATGAATGCACAAAACAATGTTAAATTGCGATTTTTCCTGTCAAGAATTGGCATCTACCTTTCAACTCCAGGATCTACATCGTGATTCAGCTAGAAGATCCGAACACATTCAAACAAACAAAAATGACCGACCAAGCGTTATGGCGCTAATGTTAAAAAGTGAACCTACTTCTTTCATACGACAATAATCCGTTAAATGAAAACTCAAAGTGTAAAATTCATTGGGACAACACTCTTTTAATTTTTTTGGCAATTATTTTTCCTAAGAGGGTAGTAATCCACTTCCAATTAAATTTTCAATGGAGGACAGTGTTTCGAAGTACCTCATAAGTTTACCTGTTTTGCGGTTCTTTTCCACATTCACCAATCTATTTGGCTAAACATATGTATTCATGCCAATTACATAGGCACTTATTTTAAGTCACTTTCCCAACCAACATGGGGGATTGATAAATTCCAAATGCAAGTGATGGTATTGGGTAAGAAGGTTGGTTGGGAACGTAGACTTGGGATGGAGATATGAGCTAAACTCCAAAATGTCAAACTTAGGCTCATTCGTTCGGAAATTGTGTCAGAAACATGCAAAACATGTACATGGGACCGAACATTTATGTAATAGTCATTGAATTATACTACGATGAAAAATGAGGACTTTATGGGGTCTCCAACGCACAGTTTAAATGATAAAAAAAAATAATTCCTATCTTACGCCAATGGGTGTAAAAGACTATAACATGGGGGTTGTTACAGATGTTCTATATCATTTATGTCTCAAATTTTCAAAATGAAATGAATATTTATTTCTATTTAGAAATTGGAATCGAGTCATCTGAAACATGTTTGCATGTTTGTTTGCAATTTATGGACTCGAAAACCGCTGAACAGATTTTCTTGAAAATTTCCAAGTATACTACAACATCGCCCGAAAGTAATATCTATATCTATAAAAAAAGGAAAATGTTTGCATGTTTGTTTGTAATTTATAAATTCGAAAACCGCTGATCAGATTTTCTTGAAAATTTCCAAGTATACTACAACATTGTCTGAAAGTAACATAGGCTATATAAATTTGTAAAATTCCACTTGGAATTGGAGATATGGCATCAGAATTGGAAGTACCTCCCAAAAATTTAAATTTTATATGCACATATCTATTGATAGATTACAGATACAGTCTTCAAATTTGGATAACGGAATTTGAAAGAAAAAAAATTAAAAATTATATTGAAATTGGTTCAGATTTGGATATAACTCCCATATACATATTCGGCCGATTTCATGGCTATGTATCTCTAATTTCAATGAAAATTGGAAAGTGTAAATTATATTGAAATCTGTTCAGATTTGGATATATATATATATATATATATATATATATATATATATATATATATATATATATATATATATATATATATATATATATATATATATATATATATATATATATATATATATATATATATATATATATATATATATATATATATATTTTTTTTTTCGACCGATTTCGTTTATTTGATGCACCAAACACGATATTTTCAACACAAATTCCATCACGCTTTCTAAATTTCATTGAAGTATGAATTTTTGAAATTCCACTTGGAACTGCAACTATAGCATCAGAATCGGAGGTACCTGCCACACGTATTTTCATCCGATTTGTTGTATTTGATGCATTGAACACGCTTTGTACGCCACATTTCAATGAAATTTAGAAAGTGTGATGGAATTTGTCTACAAAATTATTTCGCCAAATTATATTAACATCGGTTTACAGTTGGATATAGCTCCCATATATATTTTCGACCGATTTCGTTTATTTGATGCACCAAACACGATATGTATGTTGGATTCCAATGAAATTTGGAATGTGTACCGGGATTTTGATCAAAAAATAAAATTGTCAAATTATTTTGAAATCGGTTCAGTTTTAGATATAGCTTCCATATATATTTTCGACCGATTTCTTGTATTTTATGCACCAAACACGATACGTATGTTCGATTCCAATAAAATTCGGCAAGATTGACTAGATTCGGTACAAAAATAAATTTGACAAATTATATTAAAATCGGCTCAGATTTGGATATAGCTCCCATATATATTTTCGGTCAATTTTACAACACTATGGTAAAAATACGGGTCGGAACATGTGATATCCTACAACACTACAATATGTTGAAAGACCTTTTATGTTCAATGCCATGTTGGAAGATTTCGTTTTTGATTTACATAAATCATAGAGGCCTAACCTTAGTTTTTTGACCGGGAGCGTTTCCAGAATACTTACGATTCTTAAAAAATCTCATGTGAGATAAAAATATGACAAAATGTAACAAAATTTTTCCCATTTTTATTAGCGTATTTTTACGTGATTTATTTTTATACCTTACACCACATAGTGGTAAGGGTATTTCTTTGTGTATTTGTTTGTAACATGGAGAAGAAAGCGAGTAGACCTATAGTCGCATTTGAAAATCTTAATAGAATCACTTTCTGAGTCGATTTATGCAGTTGAACAGTTCAGATTCGGATATAGCTCCAACATATTTCTTCATTCGATTTCAAGTGTATTGTTCGCCAAATGTGTAATATTAGCGCAAATAGAGTGGATTTGGCAATATCTGACTTAATTTAGTCAAGAAGCAAGGGGTATACAATGTGGTGAATATCGGTTCAGATATAGCTATAGCTCACATATATGTGTTTCATCCGATTTATTGCTTAAGTTCCCCACATTCGTAATATGCACTCCACAAAAATTATGATGATGGTACCAAATATTAGATACAGCTCAGAATTACCTCTGCCAAATTTTATCGTGATCGGTTCAGATTCGGATAAAGTTCCCATTCATTCGATTTCAGATATATGAAAATCATAACATGTACTCAATAGCAACGACATTTGCTTTGAGAGGTCGCGTACAACATACATTTTCCTCAAACAAGCTAAGTGCAAATCGATTAAGAAATAGCTTTTACAGTTTTGACTCAATCTACTTCAACTTTAAACCGCTCTAAAGTCACAATAGGCAAATAATGCCTAAATCCTCAATATGAACGTTTAATTGATACACATAACTGTACTTAATAGTCAAGGTAGTGTTGGTCGGCCCGACTTTTGCCTTATCTTACTGTTTTTTTTTTTTTTTTTCATTTTATCCTTTTCTGCTAAGAGACCATCCCGGATTGTTGCAAATCAGTTCGGCCGTTCTTTAGTTATAAGCGTATTAACTAACATAACTATCTTTTATATAGATTTTAACTGACCCGTTCCGCGTTGCTGGCTCACTATTCACGACATATGAATAAACACTTGTCTTACTCCATCGATATCCACTAAAGTTTACTTCTTAGTACATATTTTCTGTTTATCTCAGATTCACTGTTTATCTCAGATATTATCATATAGTCTGTTTGAATCTCCGACCGCCAGTTGACATCACGCTAAAGGTTACCAATATATAAGTTACTTCTTTGAAACTATGCACAGATTTTATAAATTGATATTATTATTTGATATTAAATGTGTATATATTGGTCCTCGTTTAGGTCTAGCGGTCATATAGGCCATAATTTGATATTTAAGGTTTTCTGTGTTGTCAAATATTTTCGAAAATTTTCGCTTGATACAGGTTAACTATGGCTCATATACTCCGTGAACTTGTCCATCAGAGGAGTTTTGAAGGATTAAAAAGCATTTTCGTATGTAAATACTTTTGTCGTGAAAGGTCCAACAAAAGTCCACTATTTCTGGTTCCTCGTTGGAATGAAGATAGGCAAAACAATGTAGTAGGTCCACGTTTGAATATGTGACTATAAATTCGTATTCTCAATATAGGCCAAGGTACTTGAATTCTATATTCCAATTTTGGTCACAATTTAAGATCATAATGCTCTCTAAATTAAAATGCATTACATAGCCGCTATAAGTTACATTCTATTGACTTCTTTGTTTATAAAATCTATCTTCCAGGTTACGGCAAATCTCAATTATTCGTTGTATAGAGATCTTAGCAACATTTTCCAGTCGAATGGGTTGTAATCTTTCGTATTTTGTAATGTATTTCGCAATGTGCTGCAAGATAGTTAATTGTGTCCAAATCACCGGGTAGCCAAACATATCTTCTGTTTTTTATACCTTCCTCCATGCTATGGAACTTCCATTAACTCTGCCCTTTCGTTTGTAACTCATCGAAATACTTATTCCAGACCCAACAAAATATTGTATTCATGCTATCCTTCGAATTAATTGAGATAGACGGCTAAAATTTTGCATACATGCGTAATTTGTGTTAA